AACGTAACAAGCATTGACGATGTGAAAGATAGATTTGATCGAATTCCGAAATCTAAAAAGCTACAATGACAGTTATTGATATACTAAGTAAATCTGGATCGAATCGTTATGACAAAATAAATAACTGCGCGATGAAAGTTTTCTCACGCGTATTATTAAAAAGCGAAGGACGAGTACCCATATACTTATAAACGGGTAAAGAATTTATCGCGCAATCAATGCAAAAATTTCTTAAAGAAAACGACATTCGTTTTCGGGTAACGCAATTCAGATCTCAAAGCCGCCATCATCAAGTGCTTCAACAGAACACTGAATGTGGTGTTATTGCACGCATAAAAATGCTCCACGCTTCATCAATGTTCTGCAGAACATTGCACTTATATAATAATTACACTCGTCACTTGTTTATGAGAATGCAATCTGCGATAGTACAAGAGAAAGTGCGCATATCGTTCGTGAAAATATAGCTCGTTGGAAAATCGTTGGAAAAACGAAACGGGCGCAAAATATTAAATATCGCATCGGAGATCTCGTTCATATTAGTAGAGCAAAAGGAAAGATACGAAGTTAAGCGGAGCCAGGAGATATTTCAAATTTACCGTTTCTTCGATTGGCGAAGTCCTCACGAACTACGAGATTTAATAGACGAAGTCGTAGACAGTATTTTTTATGAGCAAGAATTAGCTCGAGTTGAAAGAAACTTAAAGGAAATATAGTTTATTGTCGATCGCGTGATAAAGAATAGGGAACGAACAGCTAATAAAAAAGTTAATTGGCGCGGTTATCCCAATAAGTTTGATACTTGGATACCAGCTTCGAATTTAATTTTTTTTCGCGATGGAAGAGGAACAATTTCTTCTGGTACTTCCGAGTACAACAGCAGTATGCTTCATTTTCCGGATAATACAACGTATTCCTTCATTACGAAATTACTTCACTTTATAGTGTTACACAGACAATAGGAGATTGCGATAAGAGATTCAATTTCCCTGTACCCTTTTACATGTACGTCATAACGAAAATGTGATCAGACTTGATGTGGGGACAAATACGTTACGGCAAAAGAAGTTGTGCTTCCAAATGGAATTTACAACGATATACATGGGCTTATTGATGCGATTAATACCGCGTGTAAAGATGCCGAATCGCATTTTTATTTGGAGTCTGGCGGCAAAATTTTCATAAGTACTAACTGCGATGAGAAGTGCAAAATGCTACATCATATAAACTTTTCCGATAATTTTCTACAAGAATGCTAGATTTTCCATCAGCAATTTCCACAAATAATCACCCATTTTATTCCAAGCTCGCGATATATAAACTTAATTCCAATAAAACAGAAGAAAAAACTATTCTTACTCACGGATTTAATAAAGAGAAAACGAAGGAAAAATGATTTGCAGACGATTACTGGAGTAACGAATTCTATAGTTTATGGTGCGATATCCTCGATAAAATGTTCGTTTATTGCGATATTGATTTATGTAACGGGTGATATTATCCTCTTCTCAGGATAATTCGAGATACACAGTCAATTATACATTTGGTGAAACGTTTCTTATTTCTAAATTATTGGGTCGTCCGGAAAGTTCGTGCCGATGTTGAAGGAAAATTGAAACGCAGAAAATTTTAATTTAATAAATGTATACTAAAATTTAAATTTTAGTCGGCATGAACTTTCCGGACGACCCAATATCATTGCGACGAACGAATTTTAGAACGATTGAAATAGATAGTAAGAGAAAGAAATTTCATTCAAATTCGGAACACTGACAGTGCACTTAAGCAATAACTTTCTTTCTTTCATCTACGCAAATGTGTCGGTAGTAACAGTCTTTAGTAGGAACTAGCGATGGAACATGAGGAATATTTTGATATCGGTAACTGAGGTCGAATTCTACGTGTTTTCATCGATTCGTCCTACCAACGCGGACATGGAATCGGAAACTTTCTCGCGAACTATTTAGAAAAATATTACCTTATTTAATAAAGATGCATGTGCTATCGGAAAAGAAGCTTTACGGGCGGGAATTTATGTAATAGAAGACGTCGGAAATAATAAGCTGTTGAAGGAATCGATCAAAAGTTAGCTAATCGAGGGATAATCTGAAGAGAAAAGCCAAAGAAAAAATAAATTCCCTAATGAGGGGGTCGGGGTATAAAATATTCGCAAAGTCCGCAATTTTAATTTCCTTTCGGTGGTCGAGATAGTCGAGATATCACGCTTCGTAAACGACGTCGGGCAGTCAAAAGAAAATCATCGAGAAGTACCGTAGGGAAAAAGAGCAAAAAAATGACAAAGAATAAGAAAAAAAATTTATGCTGCAAGAAGAAAACAAAAAACTATCCACTAGGAAACATCGAGTAAAAACGTAATATATCCGACATATTCTCTTAATTGAGGTAGGAATTTGCGGCTGAAGAAAAAGTATGTCCTTTTTCTATACCCACTCAAGCGAGTGTATAAAGAATGAATTCGATTTCTTCTCTCTACTTCTTACGCAAACTATAAAACTAGCATTCGAGCAGTATCGAAATCTCGCAATGGATTTATTACAAACCCGTAACTTCGCTCACGGATGATTTGCCCATAGAATTTGTCACATTCGGACATGGAGAAGACTATTTGGATCTCACTCATTCCATTGAGCTTTCGCATACGCGGAAAGCGAACGCGGGGAGAGCACATCGGCCGCCCCCGACAGCGTGGCAAAAGTAGAACTTGTAAATCATTTATTGCATTCCTTGTTCAATTAAATCGATATGTATGTCCTTATGGAAAACAAAACGATATCAAAAATACGCATTCTTGATGCCATTCTACTCGTAAGAAGAGTAAAAATAAGCCCGAGTGTGCTACTCGTACACACTGAGTAAAATTACCGCCAAGTATCCCCTTATAAGAGTCAATGTTAAAACATTCAAGATACACGCCGACTTAGGGAAATTGATAGATACAATATACTCAGACAGCCGAAACATATAATAGTCGGCTTTGTCGATAACAAGGCGTTTAATGGCGAAAATTGAACCCGTTTAATTTAAAAAATTATGGAATAAATTATTTTTCGCCGATGACATACAAATTTCTAGTAGACCATTACAGCTAAATTTTTCGAACGACGAGCCACTCTGCGTTGAAGCTTATTACACATTGTTCTCGGGAATCGGCATCCACTTTCTGAACGAGAGTAATTCTATAAATAGAGACGATTATGCCAACAGTTACTCTTTTTGCGATCTATCTTACTTCGAATCTATCCGCTATTACGCAGGGCATTAAAATCTCGTGAAACACGGAAGTTTATGATTAGAAACGAGATTCGAAAAAGCTCTTTTCATACTATTAATTGTATGCTGAATTTGATAACGTTTTAGAAATCAATTCGCGTCAAGTCATTGTCGACTTTTTCGGTTAGCCGTATACCTTTCGTGAGAACATTATTTTCCCCCACTATATTTTTTTAAATCTAATTATATGTAACATGACGAAAAAAATTTCTTGTTCGCGATGCCAATGCCGATATTTCGTGACATAAAGGGGCAGAATAAAGAATATCATGATGGATATAGAATACGGTCAACATGATGCTACAAATTCTTTGAAGCGTTTTTTAATTGATCAATTTGCAAAATTTTTTCTTCTAATTGATCCATTAAACGCTTCAAAGCGTTTGTAGCGAGACTTTGATCACAACCATAGTTATCGATATAAAGTTTTCATGATATCGAAGAAAACTTTATTTCGAAAGAAACGCGGTTCTTGCAATTAATTGTCGATCACTGATCACTGGATTACGAAGCCATCTTATCCATTTGGTGATTTACCCGAGACAGTAAGACGAGAAAACGACTAGCTTATACAAAATTATTATACGGAATCGAATGGTACGATAAAGAAGTCAATCCTAAATACTTACTTTACGATATATCTATGAGACATTACGCAACATTGCGCTACATCTACAGCAGAAGACAAGAAAAGTTATCTGATCTAATGTATTCTCCAGAAATATAATTCGGAAGGTATTTTTCCGGCTTTTAAAAATCTCGGATTTTGAAGGCCGAGGTCAACGTTGTACGCATCATGAATTTCGATCTAATGGCACGTAATTTCGAATCACTTTGTGTCTTAACATAATTGAGTTAAGGATGATCTCTCGAGCTACTTCCTAGTCAATAAATAATTTATTCATAATAATATGTAAAACAATTAAAATAATGGAATAAAAAGATTACTAATAATATCTTATACCATTCTACATAATTATTGTAAATTTTATGTGTTACTAATTGTAAATATTTTCAAAATGATAAAATAAAAGTTGTAAGATGCTCATTTAATATACTCGCATCGTCTTGACAGATGTTCTAGCTTTTTTCATTAAAAAAATCTCTCTTAAACGGTCAGTTTAAATGAAACTTTACGAGAACAAACTTAAGTGTTTAATAATGAAAAAACTTTATAATTGTAACTTTATAATTGTAACGATTTTTAAATTGCTATCTTATACGCAAGTGTATCAATTTAAAAGAGAATAAATACAGAATAAAGTTATACTTTCAATTATAATGTGAAATTTTATAAATTTGTAATTAAATATCATCAAAATGATACAGTAAAAGTCAATGAAAATTTTTTCTAGATATTATTGATATTATTAACTTTTGTATTACACGTATATTATTAGATGTACAACTTTGCTTCCGCCGTTTTCCTATAGATGGCTTCAGCGGTAAGTGGTGGTCGAAATAAATAGATCATACATGTCATTCAATAAACTTGGGCATCTGTCAACATAACCCCAGAAACATTAGTCGATTTGTGTCTGCATCATAAAGTTATTCTCGATTGAAAATGTCAGTTTACGAGCCAAATTCTCGTCATTTGCGGGAGGTTTTAATTTTTTGCTTCAATATGAAGAAATCTGCGGCTAAGGCTCATCGAATGCTCTCAAATACTTATGGTGAGGCCGATATTAGTGAAAGAACGTGTCGTGAGTGGTTTCAACGCTTCAAGAACGATGATTTTGACGTCCAAGGTCATGCTCTGTATTTGGTGGGACCAGCTCGGCGTAGTGTACTATGAACTGTTAAAACCGACTGAAACAATCACAGGCGATCGGTATCGAACGCAATTGATGCGTTTGAGCCGAGCATTGAAAGACAAACGGCCGCAATACAACGAGAG